TTAAACAGAATAAACAATAATACTTTGAAACATTCCAATTGCATTAAGTCTAAAAAGAAGTCAACTTTTTCTCCAACTCTGAAAAATATTTTGAAGCTTTCACACTTGTCATTTTCCATGAAAGAGATTAACACAAAATCAGGACCCATTTGCAGAAGTTACCTGGATGTTACATAAGCTTTCCATTTCTCGAATAATCTCCTAAGAATGATTATGACAAAACCACCTTCAGATAAACCAGCTTGAATAACACAGTACAAAAAATTTAGTTTGCCTACAATTCTCTCAATTAAGAGATTTCAATGTACCTACTTTCTCGAGTCGCTTCAATATGTCTCTTTGGTAAATCTGTTGGAAAAAAAAAAAACCGCACGAAGTCAAAATATGGGAAAGTTAAATCTCAGTCAGTCATTTCGTCGAACACATTCAGTGCATATCTTATTGTAGTAGCGGTCAAACCTTGATTAGTGAAGACTAATCAAACTCTTAAAACTAATTGTGATTGATCATGCTGAGATCATTTGGGTATAAGCGATTCGATCCAAAGTCGCCGACTTTAGCTGAGAAACACACAATCTTTGATGACGCAAACAAAAGACAACAACTTTAGAGAGAACATATTTCAAAGGCCGTGAGAAACAAGCCACATTCTCGATACAACGAGTCAAAGTCTCGTGCCCTAGGACTTTGTGCCGTACTATTGAAGTAATATCTCTGTCTCTATCCCTCGTGCATAAAAAATTAAATGCTTTTTGTTTTGCTCTTCTACTGAAAACAAGATCACTTTTCTTGAATATTAAAACCTCAAAAATGTCCAAAAAAAATGACTTTATATTAGTACCAAATATCACAACAATTTACATTAATTTCATCTGGTGATTATTGCTTTTATCGACCAACTATAGCAGTTTGTGTTATATTATTCACAGAATATATAGTCTTAGACTCTGAATCACTCTCTTGGACCTGCATTGCGAATACCGGCTGTTTTGGTTTCGGAAGATCCATTGTGGTAGTAAGCATTGACATTACTTGTCCAATGTTGGGTCTATTCCCAGCTTGTTGTTGAATACAGAGCAAACTAATCTGAACACATCTCGCTACTTCGGATTCAGAACCCGAGCTAGAAATTTCTTGATCCAATAGATCCGCTCCACCGCTTTCGCACCAAGAATCCCATGCCTTGAAATTCGATGAACACAATCCTATTAGAAATTCATACTCAAATTCAAGGAGGATAGAGAGGGAAATTGGCTTACATATTCAAGAAGAGTTTTGCCTTCCTCTCCAATGGTGAAACTTGAAATCCTCTTGCCGGTTATGATTTCCAGTAGCAGAACTCCAAATGCATAGATGTCTGATTTCTCAGAGAACATGCCTGTCCATGCATACTCTGGAGACATGTATCCTCTGTTCATTTTAACAAAAGTTCCTCAGGTTAACTATATAAGCAAGTAAAGGTTTGTTATGTATGTACAGAGGAGGTAGAGATACATACAGCGTTCCAACAACCCTTCGCGTGTTGGCTTGATGTTGGGTTCCTTGAAACATCCGCGCCAATCCAAAATCTGATATTTTTGGGTTCATTTCCTCGTCTAAAAGGATGTTGCTGACCTTCATATCTCGGTGTACAACCCTGAGACATGAGTCGCGGTGAAGATAAAGAAGTCCACAAGCAATACCTTGAATGATTTCAAACCGCTTGGGCCAATCAAGCTCAAGCTTTTTCGTCGAATCTAGTCAAATTAAAACAGATTGGTCAGCTAAACAGATAAACAAGGTTACAAGAGTTCCACATGATGAAAATAATTGGAAAGAGTTAGAGAAAGGCACAATAAGGGACAGACCGAAGATAAAGGTATTCAGGCTTTTGTTCGCCATAAACTCATAAATCAATAGCTTTTCTTCTCCTTCAATGCAACATCCCAAAAGGCGGACCAAGTTTCTGTGTTGGAGTTTCGAGATGAGTATTATTTCATTCATGAACTCCTCTAGACCCTGTCCAGAGGTGCTCGAAAGGCGTTTTATGGCTATTTCCTTCCCATCTTGTAGCTTTCCCTGGATACACAGTTGGAGATAGACATATGGTGAACAAGGAGGATGAGAAAAGAAAAAGAGCAGATAAAGCACGATAAATTTTACCTTATACACTGGACCGAAGCCACCTTGACCTAGCTTATTTTCGATGCTAAAGTTATTGGTGATAGTTAATATGGTTTGCATATCAAAGAAATTTACATCTTGTGGTTTCAGTTGTTCCTTCCATGCATCTTGTGAAGTCTCCACCGGTATAGGAGTTGAATCTATGATTTACAAGTATCCAAGAGTCAGTACTAAATTTTAAGAAAATTAGCATTCCAAGGCTAAACTAAAGAAGTTGAAAGACAGGAAAACAGAGAAAGAAGGGCTACTAAGCATTTCAGTGTGTCACCATTTTGTTTCGCTTTGTATCTCCAAAACCAACAAGAGGCAAAAACCAAGATCATGAAGACAGAAATGCTGACAGTGCTAGCAACAATAATCTTCGTTCGATTGCTTCCAGCTGAGAGATGCACCAGAAAATTAAACTGTAAACCAAGCTGCAGCAAACTAGAACATCACAAAGAAACTCGAAAAAAAATTAGAAGTACTTAATGCTCAGTTTCATGCCGTACCTAACTCAGAACGTGCAAGACGAATTGAAAGTGTTTCTCCTCCAGCAACAAACTGCGTTACATCCATAAGCTCTTGATTCCACACTAAGCATCCAATTTGTTCAATATAGGCAAATGCCGTGCAAGAACAGTTTCCAAGACAACGCTGTTGGCAATCCTCTTCATTGATCAAACTTACATATTCATAAAAGTCTGGAGGCTTTACATTTGCAACAATGTCGAAGACGTCTCCATTATTGGCTTGTGTTGTTGCAGAAGAGTTCACATTACAAGATAAGTTTGTTCTTCTCATACAACCACCGGTCCAGTTCCTTCTATTCCACTCCTCATCTGATTTTGGAACAAAGCCTTTCAAGCATTCACACTTTGGGGGATTAGATCTCACACACAACCCAAAAGGTCCGCATGTATTATAAACATCACATGAGCTTACAGGGGCCTCCAAGTCAGTAACCCAACCAGAGCCATTATTCCAAATGATCTTTAACGATCCCGCTGATGTGAGCGTAGTGTATGACAGGTTCGAATTTCTTCGTTCTAATGAATAAGTCAAAAATCCTGTGCCGGCTGCAACATCTTGGGAAATGTCGAATTTGCTTACATGTAATCCATCCATTTCTGGTATGCCAGTGAACCTTACCCTTGCCCATGGACCGCCTCTCCAGTAAGGCCTGGATCCTCTCATTATAAAGCCTTGCGGAGGTACTTGTGTCGTAAGCTCAGCTACGAATTCTCCAGGTGAAGGATCGGTGGGACTTTTCCAAGAAGATAAGACACGTTTCTTGTTATTCGGAACATCATACATCACAGATGATTCAAGTAACATAGTATCACCAAGATGCTCAAAACTGTGCCATAAGTTTCTTTCTGAAACTCCATCAATGAGAACAAGATTTCCGTTTTCTAAAAGCTCAGCACGAATCTCGTTAGAAGGGAAAGTTTCTCCTATTGACCAAACAAGATCTTGTTCTCCCTCAACCAAGATAAGGCTCCCATTGCTGTTGATAGTCAGATTCGCCGCGTTGTTTGTCACTGGCTTATCTCTGTTAGCCACCCAGACAACGACCCGAGGGGTGATGTTCTTGAACCAGACCCCAACATACTGATTCCGAGAGTTGTTTGGACTGAAGAACCCTAACTCATAAGTTCCATTAGGGGAGCTCAGAGTTTGTCCTATTGACAAAGGACTTGCTCTGGTTATAGCTGCAAAGGCACAACTTGGGAATATGATTAGCAAGAAGAGCAACAAAGCAAAGAAAACAATACCAATCTTTCCCATACGATATGCAAGAGCTCTTCTAAAGATTTGAATGTATGAATCTTTATAAAGTCAAATGCAATAATAACAGAAGAAACAAAATATAAAACCTCTTGGCTGGTATATCTATGGAGAGGGACTACTAATTTATATTATTATTATAACTAGTAAGCCATCGTGACCGCAATATAAAATAGAAAAATCATAGACCTCGTTGACCACTAGAGTCACATTCTCTCCCTCCATTCACATGGTGACACCAAATTACAAGTCAAAAAACAAAATATTTTACTAGTTGTATATTCCATGTCGCTTCAGCAGATAACTTTGAATATTCCCATCTCTGGGCCTTAACCATAAATAAAGCCAACAACTTTTTCTCATAACCAATCCACATTTTCTAGGAAAGTAACAGAAAGACAAAAACAAAACATTTTACTTGCAGCTAAAACTTTCTCCATTTTCTAGAAAAGTAACAAGAGCACAAGAACGTTTTTGCAACATTTTACTTGCAGCTAAAACTTCTATTTCCTATGAAATTAATCAAATTTGGAAGAAAAAAAAACCAACACAAGGACTTTTCAATTGATTGGCAAAGAAATTACCCTGATATGAAATCGAAAGAAGCAACAGACTTTGGATTTAAGACAAGCTTACCTGAAGAAGAGAGCAAAGTTCTAGATCCGATTTCCTATAGTGGAGGTATGACTTTTCATGGGCGGCTTCAAATATTGGCCCCCACTGCCCAAACTTTGAATTTTAAATTCTCGTTCACGCATTTCACCGAACACATTTAGTGCATAACCTAAACGTTCCATCGTTTAAAGTAACAGCGATTTCGACTACCAAGAAAAAAATATAGCGGATAATCCAAATCTAACCATCTGGGCATCGACGCTTGTAACCAAAGTCGAAGACTTTCCATCTATATGACCTTAAAAAATGCGGAGAAGAGAATGCCAGAGAAGACGACAGACACAATCAACTTAATAACAATATTATAGCGAATATTATTATTATGACGAGCTTGTGTCAACGAAATCTTTGGGGATTTATGAGATCACATGCTTAAGAAAAATAAAGTGAGATATCAAAATCTTAAGCTTTAAATGTTCATGAATTTACAAGTATATACTACTTCTGTACTGAGATATCAAAATCTTAAGCTTTAAATGTTCATGAATTTACAAGTATATACTACTTCTGTACTGAGATAACAAGATCCTTAGGCTTATCTTCCTTGGATCATAGATTGTGTTATCTCATTTCCAGATAAGAAATCTTGAGATTTAGACATTGGCATATCGTTTAGAGTATGCACTGCAAATATTGGCTGCTTTGGTACCGGAAGATCTGTTGTTGAAGTAATCATCGATAGTACTTGAAGAGTGTTGGGTCTGTCAACGGCTTCGTGTTGAACACAGAGCAGACCAATCTGAACACATCTCGCAACTTCGAATGCTTGACATGTATCAGTAAGATCTCTGTCCAGAAGATTTGATCCCCCGGTCTCGCACCAAGAATCCCATGTCTAAAGAATAAGAAGTGTTTAGAAACGGAGATGGAGAAGTGTATGCATTTGATGAGAATTAGATTGTTATAACAGTAAATGTTTCACTTACATATGCAAGAAGGCCTTTGCTTTCATCACCATAGATGAACCGTGAAATTCTCTTTCCGCTGATGATTTCCAACATCAGAACACCGAAGCTATAGATATCAGACTTCTCAGAGAACAACCCTGCCCATGCATACTCGGGAGACATATATCCTCTGTTCAAATATCAAATAGTTTCACCAAAATGTTAATATATAAGACTATACAATAAATCCTTTTTAAGAATGTTGTTGAGGACAGATTCTTACAGAGTTCCTACAACTCTGCGAGTGTTGTCTTGATATTGGGTTCCCTGAAACATCCGAGCCAATCCAAAATCCGATATTTTTGGGATCATTTTCTCGTCCAGAAGAATGTTGCTGACCTTCAGGTCTCGGTGAATTACCCTGAGGCGTGAGTCACGGTGGAGATAGAGAAGTCCACGCGCAATACCTTGAATGATATTAAATCTCTTTGGCCAATCAAGCTCGAACTTTAGAGTTGAATCTAGCCGATAAAATAGAACAGATTAGTGCCCGCAACACATAAAAAATATCTCATAAGATGGAAGGAAAAGGAAAAACGAGAGATTATATGGAATAAAGAACATACCAAATATAAAAATATCGAGACTTTTGTTCACCATGAACTCATAAATCAATAGCTTCTCTTCTCCGTCGATGCAGTATCCCAAAAGCCGAACCAAGTTTCTATGTTGTAATTTTGAGATCAGTGTTATTTCATTCATGAACTCCTCTGTACCCTGACCGGAGCTACTAGCAAGGCGTTTAACAGCTATTTCCTTCCCATCTACCAACTCTCCCTAAATAAAAAGTTGCATATAGTTAGATATCTAAAAACAAAACAAAAAAGTACATGATAGAAAAGAAAAGAAGCAAATAAAACAGACTGTCACACACCTTGTAAACTGGACCAAATCCACCTTGACCAAGTTTATTTGAAGGACTGAAGTTATTGGTGGCAGTTCGTATGGTATGCATCGCAAAGAAGTTTACGCCTGAGACATCTTGTGGTTCCATATCATTCTTCCATGCATCTTGTGAAGTGTCAAAGACAACAAAAGTTAGTTCTACGAGTAAGATATGTGCATGTAGTATTGCTTGATTTGTAGCGGTTTAACATCCAAAGGCTTAACGTCAAGATTTGACAGATCATAGACCAATTAGTATAAAATTGATTAAGACGAAAGTATGTATATATAGAAGTTCTTTTACTACGGTTTGGTTACAGAGTTATGGAAAATAGTGACAAGAAGAGAAAGTAACAAAGAGAGAGAGATAAAGCTGCTAAGTTTTTCAGTCTCTTACCATTTTGTTTCGCTCTGTATCTCCACAACATAATTGCAGCAAATACCAAGATAAAAAAAATGGAAAGGCTGACAGTAGTGCCTACAATAATCTTCCTTCGACTGCTTCCAGCTGAGATATACACCAGAAAATGAAAACTTCAAAACCATGATGCTACAGAACAGTATAAAGAAAGTTGAAATATCAAATGTAACAAGAAAATTATGCTGAGAGGTGAGAAGAAATGTGTTTAATCCTTACCCAATTCTGAACTTGCAAGACGAACGAAGAGAATCTCTCCGCTAGACAAAAATTGAACTGTGTCTACCAGCTCCCCTTTCCATACCAAGCATCCAATTCCACTAATATAGGCAAAGGCTGTGCAAGAGCAGTTGCCTAGACAACCCTGGTAGCACTGTTCTGCATTGAGAAAGCTTGCAAATTGATGCAGATCCGGAGTCTTTACATCGGTCATACGATAGAAGATGTCTGTGTCTTTGCCTTCTGCTTTCATAGAAGAGCTTGCCTGGCAAGATAATTTTGTACGCCTCACACACCCACTTGTCCAGTTTTGTTTTCCCCACTCCTCATTAGACTTTGGTACAAACCCTTTCAAGCATTCACACTTTGGGGGATTAGATCTCACACACAAACCATAAGGCCCACATCTACCATATAGATCGCATGGGTTCTCTGGGAGAGACAAGTGAAGCTTCCAGTTTTTTCCATCATCCCAGAGGATCTTCATTTGCCCATCTGGTGTTAGCGTAACATACGACAGATTATAGTTTCTTAAAGTGGAATAAGAGAACGATCCTGTGCCGGCTGCTAGATCCTGGACAACACTGAATGGACTTACATATGATGCATCAATACCAGATATCCCAGAGAATCTTGTTTTTGCCCATGGACCACATCTCCAGTAAGGTAGTGAGCCTCTTCTTATAAGGCCTTGTGCGGGGATTTGTGGTGTAATCTCCAACGAGAACTCCCCAGGCGACGGATCGCTGTAACTTTTCCATGTAGTCAACACACGCTTCTTGCCATTAGAAGTATCGTACATCAACGATGACTGAGGCAGCATAGTATTACCAAGATGCTCGAAGCTTTGCCATAATATATTCCCTGAAACATCATCAATTACAACAAAATTTCCCGTGTCTAAGAGCTCCGCATGACATTTGCTGGATGTGAAAGCTTTTCCTGTTGACCAAATAACATCTTGTTTCCCATCAAGCAAGATCAGACTCCCATTGCTGCTGATAGTGAGATTTGCTGCAGAGCTTGTAACTGGCGTTTCTCTGTTAGCCACCCACACAATTACCCGAGGAACAATCTTCTTGAACCAGATGCCAACATACTGATTCCTGGTATTATTAGGACTGAAGAAGCCTAACTCATAAAATCCACCAGGAGAACTCAGAGTTTGTCCTATTGACAAAGGACTTGATGTGTTTATAGCTGCAAAGCCACAAGTTGGGAATATGATTAGTAAAAGCAAGAAAGCAAATAAAACCATACCCATTTTTCTCCTATCTCTCTGCAATATAACTTGAGTATGAGCAAAACTTCATGGGGATAAAGTGAGCATTGAGACCAAGAGAAAAACAATAAGTACTTCCGTTAAACGTATCATGAGATAATAAATATATAGATCTTGGTTCACACTACTTCTTTGAATATTAAGTACTAAAATTATACCCTATTGACCAGCAAAAGAGAGAGAAACAAAAAAAGTAAAATAATAGACGACCTTGACGAAGAATCTCCCAATCTTACTGTCCACAGAAAATAACGTGTGGTACTCATAAGTCAACTTTCTAGTTTCTACTACGCCAAGAAGTTTTGAGCTTTTGCATTCTTCGAGAAGGACAATACAAAACTGAAAATTACTGACAAACGTTTCGCAAGTTGCAAAGTTAAGATCCAAAAACCTAGAAAACCAACAAAAACCAAAAGACCAACAACGAATAGAACGATAAAACAAATTTAAATTCTCGTTCAGGCATTTCATCGAACATATTCAGTGCATAATCCAGACGAGCCAGATTCAAAGTAAACTTCCAATATCGCAGGACTTTGTAGAAACGGAGACAGAGACAGTGACGACGACGACTCAGAAAAATATGTGCTTGTAGCCAAAAGTTGCAAACTTTGACCAGAAGAAGCATAAATGACCTAGAACGCAAGCGATAACGAAACCAATACCTCAAAAATTCAAATTCATCGATTTTAAATTCCACTGTTAAATAAATTAGTAGTATCAAATCAATATAACAGACAACGAAACATTGGAGACTCATGACCGACCACATGGACAACAAAGCACAAACTCTTTTATTAATAAGTGTTCACAAAAAAAAAAAAAAAAAAAAAAAAAAAAACACTAATAAAAAAGTAAGAGAAAATATTTTTAAAAAGGTGTTGAATATGATGAAACCAGATTGCAAAGTTGATCACTTTAATTTTACAGGAACAGAACCCACACTTCAATTTCGAACAAATTTTGATCACACATAGTTTCTTTAACGCCCTTGGATCACAGATTGTGTCATCTCATTGACGGTGATCAAATCATTAGACGTAGAGTCGTCATCTCTAGAGTGCACTGCAAACGTGGGTTGTTTTGGTAATGGAAGATCTGCTGTTGTGGTGAGCATAGACATCAACTCAAGTGTGTTTGGTCTGTCTGCAGGTTGGTGTTGTACACAGAGAAGACCAATTTGCACACATCTCCCAACTTCGGCTGGAAGAGAAGAATCGGAGAGAGCTTGATCAAGAAGATCAACTCCTTTGGTTTCACACCAAGATTCCCATGCCTATTGTTTAGTTTCATATCTTAAGAATATATATATATTTTTTTTGAATGTAATGTTAAATTATATTCAAGAAAAAAATAACAGTTTTTGGGTACATAGTTATGCAAATGTGTGCTGAAAAGCTTAAAAACTAGGGATACATGGATTTGGACTTAGTGTCTTGATGCAAACCAAGCTTGTAGGCTTGAGTTGAATCTTTGATCGCCCGCCGCCCGAATTGCAGAGAGTTTGTTACGAATCTGTTTCTCAATCCAGATTGCAAGTTGTGTCGCTGAAGTCGGATGCTCGCCATGCCTCCTCCCATTGCGCTCTCTCCATATAGAGTGGATTGCTATTTGAAAACTGTAACGTACGAAAAAGGTGTGAATCTTGTCCAGCGGAGGCTTTGAGATGCAGGTGACTATTTCCCGCCAATCCGTAGAGAAGTGACGTTGAAGTAGGGGCTGCATAAGCATTCTCCAGATTTCTGACGAGTAGCTACACGTAAAGAACAGGTGATCCCTTGTCTCCAAGTGGTTTTGGCATAAAACACAAGTAGACATTGAACCCGGGCTCCAAGTCTGCACTCGGTCGCCTGTTATTAAACGATTCTTCATAGCAAGCCAAGTGCAAAAGGAGTATTTTGGTGTCGCATGAGTGAATCATACTCCTTTGTACCAAGCCACTGTGTTTGATATTGTCCGAGTGTGGTTCCACGTATCCTTAGTAGAGAAGGAGGCTTTGTAGGAATCGCCTTTCCCTTTCCACAAGAATATGTCATCCACTGATAAATCTCTTCCTTGCCATTTCGACTCCAAGGCCTGTTCAATTAGGTTCAGATTGTCCACACGATGTCTTCTTCTTCTCCGATTTCTCCACGCCTCAGCTAAGGTGGCAGTCCTTTGAATACCCATATCTATGAGACCTCGCAAGCCCGTCATATCCATCAAACACCCTAGGTTAGACCAGTTGTCGTACCAGAATGAGATCAAGGAACCATTACGAACTTCACATTTACAAAAATTTTTAGCCACTGCTCTGTATTTCAAGAGTTTTCTCCATATCCACGACCCTGCACTCGTAGTCTCTCGGATGGACCAGAACGATTCCCGACGCAGCAAATAAGTTGTGACCCATTTGACCCACAGTGATGGACCATTTGAGATTATTCTCCATATAAGTTTCAGACAACAAACATCATTTGCTTCCTTTAAAGATTTCAGACCTAAACCTCCTTCTTGCTTCGGTTTACAAACGTCCTCCCATGAGACTTTGGCTTTATTTGTGTTCAGTTCGGGTCCCGACCAAAGGAAAGCAGAGCAGAGCTTATCGATGTCTCTAATACATTCTCGTGGCAATCGAAAGGCTGCCAACCAAAAGTTTGCTGTACTCCATAAAACCGAACTTATCAGATTCAGCCTACCCGCATAAGATAGACTCTTTGATGTCCATGTGCTAATTCGCTTTTTTTTATCTTTTCCAGCAGAGGCTGGTAATCTGCTTTGGAAAGCCTCTTGGTGACTAGAGGAAGACCCAAGTATCTCACCGGGAGAGTGCATATCTTAAGAATATTAGAGCAAGAAGCTTTTTGAGACCTTAGGAAAACCATAAGTGTTTAACTTACATATGCAAGAACAGTTTTTCCCTCTTCGCTGATTGAGATCTTCTCTCCGATGATGATTTCTAACAGTAGAACTCCAAAACTGTAGATGTCTGATTTCTCAGAGAACACCCCAGTCCATGCATACTCGGGAGCCATATATCCTCTGTGCAAACATCAAAAATAATTTCACCTATATGAATTATCATGACTATGAATCTTGTAGAGAATGTTTTCGTTCGAAGAATGGTTCTTACAGAGTTCCTACAACGCTGCGAGTGTTGTCCTGATATTGGGTTCCCTGATACATCCGAGCCAATCCGAAATCTGATATTTTTGGGATCATTTTCTCGTCCAGTAGAATGTTGCTGACCTTCAGGTCTCGGTGAATTACCCTGAGGCGTGAGTCACGGTGGAGATAGAGAAGTCCACGCGCAACACCTTGATAATGTTGAACCTCTTTGGCCAATCAATCTCAAACTTTAGAGTTGAATCTAGCCAATAAGATAGGGCAGATTAGTGATAGTAATGACAAGGACACATTCTATATTTCTCATATGATGGAAGAACGAAGAGCTCAATGGAATAGAGGACTGACCAAACAGGAAAACGTCGAGGCTTTTGTTCACCAAATACTCATAAATTAGTTTCTCTTCTCCTTTGATGCAGCATCTCAAAAGCCGAACCAAGTTTTTATGTTGCAGTTTGGATATTAGTCTTATTTCATTCATGAACTCATCTGTACCCTGTCCAGAGCTGCTAGAAAGGCGTTTAACGGCGATTTCCTTCCCATCTACCAACTTTCCCTGGAAGAATAGTTTCACATAGTCATCTATAGAAGAAAAAAATACAGAATAGGAAAAAAAAAAGGTAAATAGAACATAATTATACATTACCTTATATACTGGACCAAATCCACCTTGTCCAAGTTTATTTGAGGAATTGAAGTTATTGGTGGAAGTACGTATGGTATGCATATCAAAGAAATTTACGCCTGAGACATCTTGTGGTTCCATATCCTTCGCCCATGCATCTTGTGAACTGTGGATGAACATAGGATTTGGTTCTACGAGTAACAAGTGGTCATGTATTAGTGCTTAATTTGTAGCAGTTTAGCATCCAAGTATTGACTTTCAATATAAGTGAACATATTAACCCTTAGGACATCTTAAACAGACCAATAGACTTTCCAAATGAACTGTCTACCTGAGAGGCTGACACTGTACCTTGGGTCACAACTTAAGAATTCTAGAAATGTGGTATGTATCAGATGAAGAGGAAGAGATTCATTTGCTTCGGATTTGGTTACAGAGTTAGATGAAAAAAGAGACAATGAAAGAGAGTGAGATACACCAAAATGCATGTGTCTCACCTTTTTGTTTTGTTCTGTATTTGCAGAACTTATATGCGGCAAAGACCAATATCACGAAAATGGAAAGGCTCACAGTAGTACCTACAATAATCTTTGTTCGACTGCTTCCAGCTGGTATAATCACAGAAAACAAAAAGTTTAAACCATGCTGCTAGAGAGAAAAAAAAAAACCATCACATATAGAGAAAGTTGAAAGTTCAAATGTAATAAGTAAACAATAATCATTATACCCAATTCTGAACTTGCAAGACGAAGGGAGAGAGATTCCCCATCAGACAAAAATTGAACTGTGTCTACCAGCTCCCGGTTTCATACCAAGCATCCACTAATATAAGCAAAGGCTGTGCAGGAGCAGTTGCCTAGACAATTTTGGTAGCACTGTTCTGCATTGAGAAAGCCTGCTAATTGGTACAGATCTGGAGTCTTAACGCGGGTTATATGGTAGAAGCTGTCAGTGTCTTTGCCTTGTGTTTTTGTAGAAGAATTCATCTGGCAAGATAATTGTGTACGTCTCACACACCCACTTGTCCAATTCCCTTTTTTCCACTCGTCATCTGACTTTGGTACAAACCCTTTCAAGCATATGCACTTTGGGTTTCTGGATCTCACACACAAACCAAAAGGACCACAAGCACGATATAGATCACATGAGCTTGTTGGAGCCTCAAAGTGAAGCTTCCAACTTTTCCCATCATTCCAGAGGATCTTCATTTTTCCCTCTGATGTTAGCGTTACATACGATAATTTATAGTTCCTTAACATGGAATAAGAAAAGGATGCTGTGCCCTTTGCTACATCTTGGACAACAGTGAATGGACTTACATATGATGCATCAATTCCAGGTATCCCAGAGAATCTTGTTTTTGCCCATGGACCACTTCTCCAGTAGGGCGATGAGCCTCTCCTTATAAGGCCTTGTGGGGGGACTTGTGGCGTAAACTCCAGTGAGAATTCCCCAGGCGATGGATCGCTGTTACTTCTCCATGAGGTCAACACACGATTCAGTCCACGGGGAATATCATAAGCCACCGAAGACTGAGGCATCATAGTATTACCAAGATTTTCAAAGCTTTTCCATAAAGTTTTTCCGGAAATATCGTCAATTACAACAAGATTTCCGGTGTCTAAAAGCTCAGCATGACACTTGTTGGATGTGAAAGCCTCTCCTGTTGACCAAATCACATCTTGTTTACCATCGAGCAAGATCAGACTCCCATTGCTGCTGATAGTTAGATTCGCCGCAGTTTTTGTGACTGGCTTATCTCTGTTAGCCACCCAGACAACGACCTGAGGAATGATGTTCTTGAACCAGATCCCAACATACTGATTCCGAGAATTATTAGGAGTGAAGAAGCCTAACTCATAAACTCCATCAGGGGAGCTCAGAGTTTGTCCTATTGACAAAGGACTTGATGTGTTTATATCTGCATTGCCACAAGTTGGAAATATAATTAGCAAGAGCGAACAAGCAAATAAAACCATACCCATGTTTACTTCTAATTGTCTGCAAAATTCTTTGTGGAAGTTTGAACATATGAGCAAAACGTTACGTAGATGAACAGAGATACATGAGACCAAAGGCATAAAGACCTTCATGTTATCCTCTATATCTTAAGCATTCCACTATTTTGATTATATTTTCTTCTGTCAAAGAGAATAATTATAACAATAATCTAAACATAAGTATTAAACTAGTATGTATTGACAGCCTTGACCGAGAAGTTCCATGTTACTCTTCCTTAAAGACAGAATCTAGTAAATGAGTTTTGTTTTTTCTTCATGTTGGTCTCTCATAAGTCAAACCAACACAGCAATTAAGTTTGCAGCTTTTTCATGTTCCAAAAGACATAACAAATTTAGAAATTGCTTTCAAAAGTTTAAGCTTTATTTAAAATGAAAACTGTAAAATGAAGATCTAAAGACCTAGAAAGATGCTCACCTGAAACACTGTTCGTGTTTAAACATAACACCAACTCCTAGTGGCCAGCGTTTGAAACTTTGTGTGTCGTTCAGGCATTTCATCGAACATGTAGAGTGCGTATCCAAAGCATATCTTGGCATGTAACGCATGTTGCCCGGACCTAAACTCTTGAGACAGATAGTTACACGCGAAAGTACCGATTAATGCAACTCCCACAATCTGAGCTTAACTACATGTAGTCAAAGTAGCCGACTTTAATAGTGAACATAAATGTAGATAATCGCAAGAACAAGACAATTCATTATTGAGATCATATGTATTACTGATTTGTACCTTTGTACATTTCAATTAGGCATTTCATCGAACACTTAATGGTGCGTAATCCTAACAATGCAAGACATAAGATTCAAAGGCTTGCTAATGTCACAGTTCTTCAAGTCTCGACCTGGGTTTAACTACTTCTAGTCAAAGTTGCCGACTTTAACTGAAACAAAACACCAATACGGCCAAATAGATTCCAAGCTCAAGAACACACTCAAGTGAATGATGTACATAGTCTCAACGAAGAAGAGATTCACAAGACATGTTTAGAAAACTCTTTAAACATGCCTTTTGCATAATTTTGAATGTAATTTTCTCAATTTACATGATGACATCATCTAAGAAAATAATCCCTTCTACAATTTCCATCACACATTTGTTGTTCAACGTCCTTGGATTACAGACTCTGTCATCTCATTGACAGAATCATTATACGGTGATTCGTCATTTCTAGTGTGCACTACAAATGTGGGTTGTTTTGGCAGAGGAAGATCTGATGTTGTGGTAAGCATAGACAGCAGCTCAAGTGTGTTTGGTCTGTCTGCAGGCTCGTGTTGAACACAAAGCAAACCAATCTGGACACACCTTCCAACTTCAGATGGGTGACAAGAATCAGCAAGAGCTTGGTCCAAAAGATTAACTCCTCGGGTTTCACACCAACATTCCCATGCCTGTTATTTAGTTTCAGATCTTAAGAATACAAGAGGAACAAACCTTTTGCAACCTCTGCAAATGCATGAAAACATAAAGAGTCTTACTTACATATGCAAGAAGTGCTTTTCCTTCCTCGCCATAGCTGAACCTTGAGATCTTCTCTCCGCTGATGATTTCTAGCAGTAGAACTCCGAAGCTATAGATGTCTGATTTCTCAGAGAATACGCCAGTCCATGCATACTCAGGAGACATATATCCTCTGTTCAAAAATCAAATAGTTTCACCCAGTTTAGTATATGACTATCAATCTAGGTTTAATATGTTATCAAAGAATGGTTCTTACAGAGTTCCGACAACCCTGCGAGTTTTGTCCTGATATTGGGTTCCCTGAAACATCCGAGCCAACCCAAAATCTGATATTTTCGGGTTCATTTTCTCGTCCAGAAGAATGTTGCTGACCTTCAGGTCTCTGTGAATTACTCTGAGGCGCGAGTCACGATGGAGATAGAGAAGTCCACGCGCAATACCTTGAATGATATCAAATCTCTTTGGCCAATCTATCTTAAGCCTTTTTCTTGAATCTAAGAAAAAACACCGTGTAAAAACTATCAAACAAGCAGTTCCACATAGAGAGAGGAAAGCTACAAGAAAGAGGCAAGATGTGACCCACCAAAGACAATAGTATCAAGGCTTTTGTTTTTCATAAACTCATAAATCAATAGCTTTTCTATTCCTTCGACGCAGCATCCCAAAACCCGGACTAAGTTTCTGTGTTGGAGTTTTGAGATAAGTACTATTTCATTCATGAACTCCTGTTTGCCCTGCCCAGAGCTGCTAGAAAGGCGTTTTACCGCAATTTCCCTTCCATCTTGCAGTTTTCCCTGAAACAAGATGCAAATGTCATCTTGAGAGTTGAGAAAAGACAGAAAAAGAGTGAAGAGGATAAAACGTTTCTCGCCTTGTAAACGGAACCAAATCCACCATGTCCGAGTTTGTTTGATAGACTGAAATTATTGGTGGCAGTTTGTATGGTATTCATCTCAAAAAATTCTAAACCTGGGACGTCTTGTGATTGCAGATCATTCCTCCATGCATCCTCTGATATATGAGCTGATATTTGGGTTAGACTTTGTGAGTTAGTGCCAAGTGAGCATATTAAGAGTTTTTAAAACAAGCCCAAACCAATGTACCGAAGAGAACATATATAAGTCCATCAGTTTAGTGTAGGTTTGTTGTAGTTGAAAAAAAACACATTTTTATCTTACGATAATCACAAACGTGAAAGAGCAATTTTATTGACAATCAAATGAATAGATGAACAATGAGAGAGTGTTCGATAGCATCAATATGTTACCGTGATGTTTTACTCTGCATCTCCAGAAACCAAACGCAGCAAAGCCCAAGATCACAAAGAGGGTAAGGCTCACTGTACTAGCAACAATGGTCAGCTTGTGCTTATTTACATCTGAGGAATTTAGGACAAGAATTAAACAATAAGACATGCTTCTATCGAAAACATCAATATCAGTGAAGTAGAAGATATAATTGAAAAAGATACAGAAGTTCGTTGAATTATCTTCTAAGACATACCTAGCTCAGAATGTGCAAGACGAATGGAAAGAAGTTCTCCTCCTGTAGAAAATTGCATTGTGTCCATTAGGTCCTTGCTCCACATTAAGCACCCTATTCCAGGAATGTAAGCGAAGGCCAAGCAAGAACAATTGTGCAGGCAACTTTGGTGGCATCCTTCAGCATCCACAGAATTTGTATATTCGTAAAAGTCTGGAGGTTTTAGGTTGGGAACAGTATGGAAGACGTTTGCATCTTTGCCAGTAGAGTTTCCTTGACAATGTAGTTCAGTACGCCTCGCACAACCACTAGTCCAGTTTCCTCTTTTCCAATCCTCAATCGATTTAGGAACAAAACCTTTGAAGCATTTACACTTTGGAGGATCTGAGATAACACAAAAACCAAAAGGTCCACATACACCATAAATATCACATGAATTGGCTGGACCCTCGTAGCTTGATTTCCAGTCCATTCCATTATACCGTAACACCTTCATTGCTCCCTCTGATGTTAAAGTTATACGTGAAAGTTTGTAGTCTCTTTCAAAATACGAAAAGTATCCAGACCCATTTACATCCTGATGTAGGCTGAATGGACTTGTGTATGATTCATCCATTTGTGGTATCCCGGTGAACCTTGTTTTAGCCCATGGACCGGTTCTATAATAAGGGACCGACCCTCTCATAACAAACCCCTGTGATGGCACTTGAGGTGTGATCTGAACCCAAAAGTCACCAGGCGATGGATCAGTATAACTTTTCCAAGACCTTAACCCTCGCTTCTCACCAGTGGCAAGATTATACATCATAGTTGACGTAGGGAGCAGAGTGTTACCAAGATGCTCGAAGCTTTCCCATTGAGTTCTTCCCGAAACTTTGTCTTTGACAATTAGATTTCCATAGTCTGAAAGCTCTGCACGAGACCCGTTAGATGCAATAGTTTGTCCGCTGGACCAAACAACACCATGTTTGCCATTAATTAATAGAAGACTTCCATTGCTGCTGATAACTAGATTTGCCGCAGAGTCTGTAACAGGCTTTTCTCTATTGGCCACCCACACAACAACCCTGGGAATGACACCCTTGAACCAGATTCCGACATACTGATTTTGGGAGTTACTAAAACTGAAGAATCCCAGTTCATAAACTCCATTAGAGGAGCTGAGAGTTTGTCCTATTGACAAAGGACTCTCTTTTGTTATCTCTGCATAGCTAAAACTTACAAATAAGAGCAACACGATCCTTTTCTTCCCCATGTGTTTTCCCTTTTCTCTCTAATAACTAAAAAGCGAACATACACAAGACCAAGAAAGCCAAGGGAAAAAGAAAAAAAAAAACTCAAGGACTTTTCTTTTGATAAAGATGTGTTTTTTTCTTTCTTCCAGGGACTTGTGAGAAGTATTTTCAAGAACCTATAAACAATGTTGACCTGACCGCACTAATGTTCCAAAATTCTGCATGATCAACTTAAACCTCATTTGTCAAGGGTAACGTAATTGCCACAAACAAAGTCCAACTTTTTACCCAGTCAATAACGCAACATTATCATTTTCATGACGAGAACCAGTGAAAGATAGGCACCTACACTCTCCACCAATCAAAAGATGAGAATATTTTTCAAGTCAGAACGCATTGCTTGACCATGATCTTGCCAGCTCTTTGAATCCAGTACACTCTTGCATCAATAGAAAGATTCGCCGGAAGAGCTTTCTTTTCTTGAACTGGAGACTACGTGAATTCTCGTTCAGGCATTTCATCGAACAGTTGTAATGCATAATCAGAACGTTCTAATCTACCGTAATGACGTTTGACCCTTATGCCCAATCTACACATTGGAAGAATGTATGGTCATCTCCAACGCCAAACTGTTTTTTGTCCAAAATAGCTGACTTCAACAGTCAACATTGGTGTGCAAGTGTCACCAGAGGGAAGACGATCCATTCTACAATTTCGGATTGCAAACCAAACTCGATTCTGAATCGAACCAAAAATAAAATTAAAAACCAAACCAAACAAGATCCGAAGTTAAAAATTCGGTTCGTTCGTATTTCCCAATATTGAAAGATCCGAAATCCGAATGGCCACGAAATACTAGGTCTCACTGGGCCGATTTGAGTTAAAAGCCCATACAGCCCAGTATAAAATCTTATCTTCCCCAAACTCTTTCAACGATTTTGATTTTGAATTTGAAAAGAAGCGGAAGCGAGAGCAAGAGCGAGATTTAGAGATGGAGGATTCAGGTGCGATTCTATGTCAGATCTCCATTTTCAAGGACATGCTTGATCAGGTTTCCCTCTTCTTCTTCCTCTTCACTGGTTTGGTTTGGTTTCTTGTCTTTAGCTTAATTTGAGCTGTGATCGAATGAAACAGGTCAATCGGGAAATCGAAGCGAACATTCAAGTGACGCGAGAGATCGAATCACATATCGGAAATTGTTCTGAGATGGAATCTTCTCTATCTGTTAAAGAAGCTGAGCTTACTAAATCGTTCATTGCTTCTCAGTTCGAGATCAGCGGTTTGATCTCTGTAACAGGTTTTTGAATTTGATTTATGATTATGTGTTGTTAAAATTCACATTCACATGTTAAATCTCGATCACTATGTTTTTTTTTTTCTTAAAGCTGATTCAAGAAACTCTCTGAAGCTACTGGAGGATGATATTTGTCGCCTGAGAAATGAGCACAGTGAGCTAATTACAAGGCTAACCGAGAAGCGGTAATCATCGATTGCATTGTAAACAAGCATTTGTGTTCTAGAGCATTTATTTAATAAAAATTTGATAATGGAATTGTGTACACAGGGAAGGGTTTGTGAAGATGTGTTTTGGATTCCAAAGGGAGATTGAAGACAGTGAATTTAGGAGTTTATTGTCGGAGAAGGAGTTTCTAGAAAACGAAGTTCGGATTTTGGAGAAGAAAAACATGGATGTGAAGAACTCTATTTCGGCTTACATGGAAGATGAAATGAGGAATCTATTATCTGATTAGTGTTTCTGGAATATGATACTTTTTAGCGACTGGATTGGAATGTAAGTACTACTACTAGTGTCACTTGATCTTTAACCAAACAAAGAAGAAAAGTTCTTTTGGCTCAGGTTGAAAACATCGCAAGACTGGTTTGAGACTAAACAGTATGAACAAGTCGGATTAATCGACATGATCATTGGGGCACCTGATCTTTAACCATGGTAAATTCTACAGTAATACATTGGGTTGGGGCACCAAAATGGAGGTTCATCTGTTGGAATATACCATCATATATCGAAAAAATCTTTTACTAAACGAATAAAAGGTGAAGTTATAACCATACAAAAATTGATCCCTTTCCACAACAATTAAACATACATCAATTCTAAAGTTTTAATCAAACATCAATTCTCAACGCCCTAAGAACACAGATTTTGTCAACTCATTCACAGTGATCAAATCCTTAGACGATGATTCATCATCTCTAGTGTGCACTACAAATGTGGGTTGTTTTGGTGATGGAAGATCTGATGTTGTGGAGAGCATAGACAGCAACTCAATTGTGTTTGGTCTATCAGCAGGTTGGTGTTGAACACAGAGCAAACCAATCTGAACACATCTCTCAACTTCTAATGGGTGACATGAATCAGCCACATCTTTATCCAAAAGATCAACTCCTCCAGTTTCACACCAAGATTCCCACGCCTGTTGTTCAGTTTCAGATCTTAAGAATATAAAAGCAAGAAACGTTTTGACACATTTGCAACTGTATGAATACCTAAAAAGGTACTTACATATGCAATAAGGTTTTTTTCTTCTTTGCCATAGCTGAACCTTGAGATCTTCTCCCCGCTAATGATTTCTAACATTAGAACTCCGAAGCTATAGATGTCGGACTTTTCAGAGAACATCCCAGTCCATGCATACTCAGGAGCCATATATCCTCTGTGCAAACATCAAAAAGTTTCACACAAAGTTTAATAAACGATTATGAGTTTATGAATATGAATCTTGTTAAACATGTTTTTGAAAATCGAGTCTTACAGAGTTCCTACAACCCTGCGAGTATTGTCCTGATATTCGGTTCCCTGATACATCCGAGCCAATCCAAAATCTGATATCTTTGGATTCATTTTCTCATCCAGAAGAATATTGCTGACCTTCAGATCTCGGTGAATAACCTTGAGATGTGAGTCACGATGGAGATAGTGAATTCCACGCGCAATACCTTGAATGATATCAAATCTCTTTGGCCAGTCAATCTCAAGTCTTTTTCTTGAATCTAAGCAACAATACAGCATAAAAACAATCAGATAAGACAGTAGTTCCATATAGAGAAAAGCTGCTGATAGTAAAGGAATGAGGCAAGAAGGAACCCACCGAAGAGAAAAGTATCAAGGCTTTTGTTCAACATAAACTCATAAATCAATAGCTTCTCTTCTCCTTCAATGCAACATCCCAAAATCCGAACTAAGTTTTTATGTTGTAGTTTTGAGATGAGTACTATTTCATTCATGAACTCTTCATTGCCCTGGCCCGAGCTACTAGAAAGCCGTTTGACAGCAATTTCTTTCCCATCTGGCAGCTTTCCCTGAAACTCTTTGCATAAGGTCATCTGGAGAGCATAAGCAAAGAATAGAAGAGAGCAAAGAGGTTAAAAATAGAAAATCTCTGACCTTGTAAACTGAACCAAATCCACCTTGTCCGAGTTTGTTTGATATACTGAAATTATTGGTGGCAGTTTGAATGGTATTCATCTCAAAGAAATTTAAACCTGAGACATCTTGTGGTTTCAGATCATTCCTACATGCAACTTGTGAAGCATCCTTTGTTATATCAGCTGAAACTAGAGTTTCAATTATAGATAATATAGGTCATCAGTGTCTTACCGATATAGCAAGAAAATGAATACTGTAAATAAACAAAAGAAATCAATACAGAGGGAGTAAGAACATCAGTTTGTACCGTTATGTTTCACTCTATATCTCCAGAAACCAAACGCAGCAGACGCAATTATCACAAAAAGAGAAAGGCTCACGATACTAGCAGTAATGGTCTTCTTGCGCTTATTCCCACCTGAGATATATAAGACAAAAAACAAATTAAACAATACGCCATGCTGCTTCCGGCAAGAAGAGTATCAATAGAGTTGTAGATAAAGTTGTAATTGACGAAGTAGTTCTTTCGTGTTATCATTTGAGGCATACCTAGTTCAGAACGTGCCAGACGAATGGAGAGAAGTTCTCCCCCTGCAGAAAATTGCACTGCGTCCATTAGGTCTTGGTTCCACATTAAGCACCCTATTCCATTGATATAAGCAAAGGCCAAGCAAGAACAATTGTGGAGGCAACTTTTCTGGCATTCTTCAACATTCACAAAACTTGCAAATTCGTAAAAGTCTGGAGGCTTTATCCTGGCAACATGATGGAAGACGTTTACATCTTTGCCAGTAGAGTTTCCTTGACAATGTAGTTCGGTACGCCTCACACAACCACCAGTCCAGTTTCCTCTTTTCCACTCCTCGATGACTTTAGGAACAAACCCTTTGAAACACTTGCATTTTGGAGGAACGGACTTCACACATAACCCAAAAGGTCCACATACACCGTAGTGATCACATGAGTGTGCTGGAGCCACAAAGTTCAATACCCAGTCTGTCCCATTATGCCAAGAAAGCTCCTGTGAGCCCTTTGATGTTAGCATTGTGCGTTGACGTTTGAAGTTTCCGTTTAAATAAGTGAGAGATCCTGACCCATTTGTATCCTGCTGAAGGCTGACTGGACCTGTATATGTGTCATCCATTAGCGGTATCCCCGTGAACCTTGTTTTCGCCCATGGACCGCTTCTATAGTAAGGCGTTGATCCTCTCATAACAAGCACCTGTGTTGGCACTTGCGGTGTAATCTGAAGCACAAAGTCGCCAAGCGATGGATCAGTGTAACTTTTCCAAGACCTCAACACCTGCTTCTCGCCAGTGGCGAGGTTATACTTCAGAGTTGAGAGAGGGAGCATAGTATCACCAAGATGGTCAAAGCTTTGCCATAGAGTTCTTCCTGAAAAATTGTCTATGACAATAAGATTTCCGGTGTCTGTAAGCTCTGCACGAGACCCGTTAGAAGCAAGAGCTTCTCCACTGGACCATGCAACACCATCTTTGCCATTAAATAACAGAAGATTTCCATTGCTGCTGATAGCGAGATTTGCCGTGGAATCTGTAACAGGATTTTCTCTATTGGCCACCCACACAACCACCCGGGGAATGATACCCTTGAACCAGATTCCGACATACTGATTTTGGGAGTTATTAGGACTGAAGAATCCCAGTTCATAAACACCATTAGAAGAGCTGAGAGTTTGTCCTATTGACAAAGGACTCCCTTTCGTTATCCCTGCAGAGCTAAAACTTATAAAGATGGTGCATAAGAGCAAATAAGCAAAGAACACGATCCTCTTCTTCCCCATATTTGTTATACATAAAGCAAGAAAGCCGGAAAAAAACACTATGGAGTTTTTTTTTTTTGGACAACTCAGGGATTGACTTGTGAGAACTACTTTACTTATGTTTCAATGCATTATTTAATAATACAGAACAAAATTGTCAATGCATAAGTCCTTACCCAATCAGAAACGCAACGTTGTCTTTGTTCAAGTCCTTATTAGCTTGTTAGGCCGAGAACGTACAACTCTGCATCAATCGACAATCAGATCATTTGAATTAGTTTCCGAAATCCTTGCTTTTCCATTACAACACATTAACTTTTTTGAATTGCAGGCTATGGTTTAGACATTTCCTCGAACACTTGCAGTGCATACCAAAAAATTCGGAGACTCGCTCATGTCGTAATGACCCCAATCGATGGATTCCAACTCCAACCATATGGGCTTAACTGATTCTGTCCAAAATAGCCGAAGAATTCAACAGTCAACATTGGTGTGCCAGTGTATGACTCGTGTCGTAAAGCCACAGGCCAGAGAAGAATCTTCCGCGAAGACTTTGGGGGGTATTGGACGAAGGAAATTGATAGAATTAAATAGAATTTGAATTGTTATTCATTTTGACTTTTTGTAGATTCTATTAAATTCTTGTGTTATTGAGATAAGTATTTGTAACCATTCTTTTGAAATATTTTTAATTCTTGTGTTATTGAGATAAGTATTTGTAACCATTCTTTTGAAATATTTTTAATTCTAGTGTTATTCAATTTGTTGAATTCTTAATTCTATTAAATTCAAGTGTTATTCAATGTTATGTAAAATTCTATGACACCATTATTTGACAAGAAATTAATAGAAACATTAGTGTAAAATGTATTGAACAAATTCTGAGCCTTTACGTTGTGATTTCGGTGGGAAAAAAAAAGGACGTACGGACTTCAAATGGGTCTTCTTCTCATTGGCATCTCTTCTGGAGCCAAGACCTCATCAAAATTTCCCTCAAATGATTCGTCTTCCCATTGACATCTCTTCTGGAGCAACCAAGAGCCTCATGTGCAAACCATTAGCTATGAACTCATGTGCAACATATCTTCTTTTCCACCTTTGATCTGCTCCAAGCTTGATCCTTGACCACCATCGAGAGTTTCCACGACCATGACATGTGCTAATAGAGCCACCAGTGATTTCCACCACCTGTGCGACTTCTCCAACTCTCTCCTCTTCTTCATGGCTCTCTCTCTCTCCTCTTCTCCCTTTCTCTCTTTTTTGTGTTAACGAGATTACTGCCTCTTTCATCACATTTCCACATGAGACCTCACTTCTCCTGTTTTCTCGTAACCTCCAGAGATGCCATGTGACCATGTCTTAGCCGTGTCTCTCTTTCTATCTGACGGGGTTGATCGAGAATCAACCACGGTGACTCAAAATGAAACAACGCCAAACGACGGCAACGACACAACAACTTCGGATTGATCTCCTTATCCTCGTGAACACAAGCTAAGATGACAATGACACGCTTGCTTTGGTAGCTGCGACATCTGCAAGGTTTCGGGTGTGCTCGTGAGTTGTGAATCGTGATGCTCTGTTTTTGTTAACGTGAGAACAACAAAATATGTTTGTTATTGGACGAACAATAACGTGAGAACAATAACGTGAGAAAAATTATATGATACACATCAGTGCTGAAGCATGTTTATTCTTTATGGATATGCTCCAATTTTATTAGATAAGAATATTGTTGCTAGATTTTCTATACTTTTAAAATTTATTAAATTATTGTTTATTATAAAATCTATCAACCATATATCTTAAAATCCCCAAAAAATAGTATTAGTTACACTTACTTCTCCTATATATAATATTGGTGATCATTTCCTCACTTCTCTAAAAAAAAAACAACGATCATCTCCTAAAACCAGTTTGAAGAAAAACCACAATCATCCTTCGTAAGTTTCTCTAATCCATTTTTATATAATAATCTACACTACAGTTTCTCTTGATCCATATGAAAGATTTCTTTGTGTTTTTTACTTTCCTTTTTTTTTTAGAATGGAATCAGGAGACCAGGCAGAGGCAGGAGAGACGTCAAAAAAGAAAAAGAAAGGCCCATATATGTCATGGTCAGATCAAGAATGTTATGAGTTAATGGCTATATTAGTTGATGCTATCAAACGGGGCTGGCGTGAAAAAAAAGGTACCATAAGCAAAACTACGGTAGAGAAAAAGATACTACCTCTTCTAAATAAAAAGCTTAATAAAATAAAGTAGCGTCGACGATTTTTTAGTCTCTTTTTTTTTTTTTTTTTTTTTTTTGAGCAAAGTCTTTTGTCAGTTTCGTGTGTTTCGGGATGGGTAAATGATCCAAAATACGTATACAATAGATCATCACCCGTACTATATATATATATATATATATATATATATATATATATATATATATATTAGAACTAAGTTTTAATATATTATAATAGTAAGTAAAAAAATATTAATTTTTTTTTGTCAGTCCCAATATACAATATTAGAATAAAAAAAAAAAAATTTCTATAATACTCAATTATGGATAATTTTTTTTTAAAGATATTAAAACGGAAAATAATTTTATTTTTAAAAAAGTAATATTTTTTGAACAATAAGTTAATTTATGTTAACAACCACAAAATAGGATTGCATATATTTCAATTATATCAAAAATTCAAATATCATAAATGAATCACATATAAAACATATATTATTTTGAATTAATTAAGAAAATTAGCTATTATTTTGAATTAATTTACAAAATTCTTTTTCAATTTATAATTCTTTGGTTGTTGAAATAAAGATTTTTTTGAGCTAATCTAATTACAGAATTTGTTTGAGATTTATAATTACGGAATTTACCAATTATTCGCATAATCGAATATGTTATAAACATATATTTAGTATATAATAATACCAAAATCAGCCCGTGCATGAAGTCTATATTTTTATTTTAGAATCTTAATATTTCATTTTAAAATATTGCGTACACAATCTATTATTCGTTAATTCTAAAATTTCTTGCGGAATCAAATTTTCAAATATTTAGAGGTGTCAAACCATATTTAAATGTTCTACACTATTTTTAAATATTCCAAATTAAAATCTTTAATTTTTTTTTGTAGTTTATAAAATTATGAATTTCAAAAAACAAATTATATGAAATTAAATATAACTATTCAAATAGTTATAAGGATCAAAACTCATTTCATCATATAATATATTATATTTAACCCGCTACCTATTATAAATATTTTTAAAAATAATCAAATTAGAGTATTTATAATTTTTAACGTTTTAAGTATTGATGATATTCTCTAAAAATATCAAGTAAAACTTATTTTAAATGTTGCAAATTAAATATTTAAATTTTTATTGTAGTATATAAAATTATACATTTCAAAAAAATAAATGTATGAAATCGAATATAAATATTCAAATTCTGACTCGTTTCTCAGTCGGAATTTTTGTTGACTTTATTTTGTGTAAAAGAAATATATTACTCAAGTCTGAATTTTTGACCCGTTTAATTGTTTCCTTTATAGATTGAACAATTTATATGCGTTTTTAAAAATTCAAATCTTGGCATATGCAGAAAAAAAAATTACTTTTTTTTTATTATGTAAATGATATGATGATTTATTTGTTTCATATTAATATAATCATATAAAGATGAGAGGTGAAGTTTAATGATTAATAACAAATTAATATGGTAAGTTAGATATCAAAACTTATATGTTCATTTTGATTGGTCATTTAAAAAAAAAAATAACAGATTTTCGTTTTATGATTTAATTAAGGGAGACTCACAAAAATGCCCATTTTTCAATACCCCTTTTCAAAAATACCCTATTTGGCTATCCATTTTAAAAAATACCCTTTTTATGTACAAATTGACTAAATTACCCTTCTTTTAATAAAAGATATCACAAATATATAAGGAAAACATGAGAATGTGCACACATCAAAATTACAAATTTGATTTTGTTAAAACTTGTAAAACCTTTAAAATACCTTGTAAAATTTTCCCGTAAAAATTTTTCCCGCGTAAAATTTTTTTTTGCGGGAAAAGTGATTCCGCAATTTTTTTGGCGGGAAAAATTTACAAGGTATTTTAAAGGTTTTTTACAGGGTATTTATAAGGTTTTACAATGTATTTTAAAAGGTTTTACACGTATTTATAAGGTATTTATAAGATATTATAAGATTTTACAAGCTATTTTATAAGGTTTTACAAGTTATAAGGTTTTACAAGTTTTTTATAAGGTTTACAAGTTATAAATACCTTATAAAACCTTATAAGTACCTTGTAAAACCTTTTAAAATACATTGTAAAACCTTACAAAACACTTGTAAATACTCTGTAAAACCTTTAAAATACCTTGTAAATTTTTCCCGCCAAAAAAATTGCGCAATCACTTTTCCCGCAAAAAAGTTTTTTGGTGGGAAAATTTTTTACGGGAAAATTGTACAAGGTATTTTAAAGGTTTTACAAGTTTTTACAAGTGTTTTGGCGGGAAAATTGCGGGATCACTTTTCCCGGCAAAAAATATTTTGTATTTTGTGGATCTAATTTTGTTTCAAATAAGGGTAAAATGGTCACTAAAAATTAAAAGAGGGTAAACTTAAAAATGGACTCTCAAAGGGGGCATTTTGAAAAGGGGTATTGAAAAATGGGCATTTTTAACAATTTCTCTTTAATTAAATTAATTAAATGACATAAATTAGTATTTTACTTCTTTATCCTTAATAAATTGAATGAAATTTGTTATAAAAGAAGATTTTTGTAATGGCATTCTTAAGTAAACTAGATTTTAACCCGCGGTACACCGCGGGGCTATATTTTCTTAAAAAAATCAAAATGTAATTTGTTTGATAGATTATTTTGATTGTTAATTTTAGGATTTCACCTGTGGTATACGATCTTTTATAAATATCAACCCAAACCCGTCCCATCATATTACCCGTCCCGTGAAATTAAACATTATTTAGTTATTTTTCTTTTTAATAATACTTTTATTTAAAAGCTATATAATTCAAGTCAATTTAAAAATTTCTTTTAAATGGTTCCCATAAGATATATATACATATATATTAAATTTGTATAGAGTTGAAATAATATTAATATTACAA